GGCACATGGTGGGTTCTCAGTAAGTGCTCATTAGATGGTAGAACATGACAATATACCGTGTGTGTGTGTGTGTGTGTGTAAAATTTTAACTTATTTTTTGAGAACTATATACAGTATAGTTTGGTCATAATCTTTCCTTTCCCCTAACTTCTCCAGATCCTCTGCCACCTCCCTGCCCACCCAACTTCACTCTCTTAAAATACCCCCCCCCACACACACACACGTGTCTCTACCTCTCACATGCATATGGAGTACTATTTGTGTTGGATAATTCCTCCTGGGCATGGTTCCTGCCCTTGAATGTGGTTGATACACTCAGTGACACTCCATTAGAGAAAATGGATTCCACCCCCCACCCCCTTCAGCAGTTTTCATTTGCAGGCAGCTTCTTGGTTAGGAGTGGGACTTTGTGTCCATTTCCTCTTTCCCAGGCTGGGGTTTCTGTCTGGGTTGGTCCTATGCAGGCCCTGTGAGGGCGGCTGTAGTCTGTGTGAGTATATAGGTGCACGGGCCTGTTGTATCTGGGAGACGCTGTCTCCTTGGAGTCATCCGTCACCTTTGACACATCTCCTCTTTCACACGGATTCCTGAGCCTTGAGGGGAGGTGTCTGATAAAGCCATCCTATTTAGGTCCAAAGTCTCTCGCTCTCTGCACATTGTCTATGTCAATTCCCATCTGTTGCAGGAAGTGTCTCTGCTAACTGGAACTGTTGATCCAGGTTCTGCTTGGAACTCTGGATTCAGCTCCAAGCGATCCCAGATCAGCAGTGCAGTGGTAATGGCGGACGGGGGTGGTAAATGAGCAGGCAGAGGAAGGGGGCTGACTCTGGAGGTCTTTTGAATAGGTTAAGGGTCAGGCTCGTGATCCCAGTGGTTGGTGAACCGACTCTGGGAATCCCTACTTCAAAGTCTGGTTGGAATTCAGACTCCAGGCAGCTGGTATTTCGTGTTTATATGTGTGCACAAGTGTGTGGGGGCACATGTGTGGAGGGATGAGGTTGAGGTAGGGTCTTTTCTTCAGTAACTTTGTTCCTTACCTTTGAAGGAACCTTGTCTCTCGATCCCCAAGGATCCGTCTTATCTCCACTTCACCATAACTGGGATTGCAGGCAGGTGTTGCTGTACCCAGAGTTTTCTTTTCTTTTCTTTTGTACATGGGTGTTGGTTGGGTGCTAGGGATCCCAACTCAGGTTGTCCTGTTTGCCTGAACCATCTCTTCAGGCCTTTTATACCCTTTAAATGGTAATATTATAGCTCATTGTATGGAATTAGCTGCCTCTTGTAGAGACTTTTTTAGAGTTTGTTTGTTTGTTTGTTTCAGATAAAAATGTGTCTTGACTTCTAACCCTCAAGATATTTTTGTTTGTTTTCGTACTTGTCTGTGACTTTAAGGCTCCGCTCCTTCAGTGTGTGTGTGTTGGGGGGTGCGTTTGTGTATGAGGTGGTTTGTGCGTATGTGTGCCATGGTACACATGGAGACCAGAGAACAGCCTTTGACTTTGTTTGAAAACACTGCATACAAGTACTGGCTCTTGCGAAGCTTCTGGGGTTCTGTCTCCACCTTCTGTCTTGCCCTAGGAGCACTGGGATTTCGGACCAGCCTCTGTGCCTGGCCTCTAAGGATCGGGAGCCCTCACATTTGGTGAGGCATGTGCTCTGTCCGATGTGCCTTCTCCCCATCCTCAACTGTGACTTACTTTGTTAGGATTGATAAATGAGATTCTGTCAAGTGGAGCGTGTGAATGACGCCTTGGGGGATTTAGAGATCCTAAGCCTTTTAGTGGGCTGCTGCAGGCCTGTATCCTCATGTCTTGTGAGGGCTTATGGGAGGCGCCCTTAGAGGCCCCAGGAGGCCAGCTGCAGGGCAGGTTGACCTCGGTAGCTTCCCTGTAGCCTTAGATGTCAGAACAGGTGCTCACATTTGCTAAGCGAAAGAACTGATTTCCACTAGAAATTTGTACCTTTCTCTTTATTTCAGCTTATATTTTTCAACATTTACTCTGATTCGTGCTGACTTTGGGAGGTAAACCACCCAAGTAAGACCTTTCAACCAGTGGGAATGCAAATGCAGGGAACCCAGGTGTGAATTAGCCTCCTCCTGCCTCTTCAGCCCCAGAAACAGGTTGGTTGAGGTTCCTGTCAAATAATCTTTTCTGGGCAGTAAGTACTGTACTCAGAACTTCCGAAAAGGCCAAGAAGAGGGTGACCACTTTCTCCTTGACGTGCTTATCGTTTATTCTGTGGTGTGCTGCCGTTAGTCCCGTGCCCTCCACCATAGACGTTATCCCCTCATCTCCTCCACGTCCACCTTCACAGGTGCAGACAGCCACAGGGGTGTATGAGTTACACATGAACACCACTACTGTACCGGGCGCTCACTCCTCTACCTCAGGGTCATTTCATGAATCTCTCCTTACTGCCAGGTGTCCCTCTAGTGGCACCTGGGACTAGCCTGTCACCACTTTTAACAATGTCGTTCCATTGTGTGGTCTTTAGAGTTCATCCATCTTCCTCACACACACACACACACATACACACACACACACACACACACACACACACACACACACACCCTCAGCATGGCTGCAGACTTCTTGGCTATAGTATACTGAGGCTCCCTGTTTCCTTATTGATCGGGCATGGACCCATTCCACTCATTTGGTAAGTATCTGGTTAGCACTCAGTTTCTATGCACTGGGCACTAGTAAGCCAAGTACACTTCTTAGGTGTGCAAAGAATTTTGCAGTGGTGTGTTACCAGATTTTGATCCATATGGAAAAAAATAGTTTCACTGTGCCATCCCTCAATACGAGCAGACTCTGAGGGGCACCAGGAGCAAAGGACAGCTTAGGGAGAAACAGGAAAGAGCCTCCACCTGCAGAGCACCATGCATCACAGAAGGAATTCTTGACCCCTGGTCTGCAGATATACAGGAGAGGGATATCCCAGCAGCACTCAGAGGCACCTTGAGAGCTGCTTGTGAGCCTGACCCACTAAGGTAGCATGGTGTCTTCATCATGCCTCAAGAGTCTGCCCTTACGCTCACTCCCCTGATGAATCCTTTGGGGGCTGTCAAACACCACTGCTGTTTTAGATGCTGGGGAATGAACCCAGTACTGGCAGAGTACCTCTGAGCTGATAGCCCCGGCACGGACATGTTGTGAATATCTTTCTTTACTTTCTTGCACTTTCCTCTGTGTTTGTGTGGAAGCAGTGCTATGTCAGGGAGGGGGCCCAGGAAGGGTGGGATGGTGGACGGATGATGCATGGGTGGATGGGAGACCCCCTGGAGTTTAAGTCATTCAAGCACATGTTCTGGTCTCCAGTGCATGTCATGGATCTGTGGTTAACTAGCAAAGGCCAGGTATCAGATTTGACCCACCTCTGGCTTTTGCCTGTTTGTTTTTTCACCCCCTTTATTATTATGTGGTCATGTTGATTTCTGGTTGCTCCGCTCGTGTCTCAGCACTGGTGTTCCAGGGGCTCCATTCCTAGTCATTACTTCGATTTTTCGTTCTTCTTAGATAACTTTCTGCAGTCCATGGTCTGTCCCCACAGACATGTTCTGTCTGTTCGATGCTGATTAGCTCGGACGTCCCTAACTCAGACCCAGGCTTTCCCCCATTGGACCTCTGATTTGTTGCCCAGGCATGTTGGACACAATGGTCTATTTCAGTTTGTGTTAACAGTGACCCAAACTCAGACTTTCGTGACCTTGGTTCAGTCCTCCTCCTACAGCACCTCATCCGTCATTTGGTGTTCCTCAACCTTTGGCCCTTCAACTGCTTCAGGTGTGGCGGTGTTGTCCATTAGACCTAAGGACATACTTCTGTTTTTATCTGAAGGCCAAATTCAGTGCCAGTGCATGGCAATCCTTAAGAAATACTAGAGGAAGTGAAGAAGTGGATGACTGACTGGATGGATAGATAAAAAGTTGACTGAACAGCCTGAGAAGGGTTACCTTTCAGAACAAGGCTTTTGATTTCTTTTTACTGGAACTGGGGAATCATTTTTGCTTGTGAATAGTGCATTTTGAGGAGCACTTCGTTTTTAAAGAGATATTTCACTACATAAAATGTCTTTTCTGTCTGACCCCTGGCCACATTTATAAATGTGTGCACTTGAAAGAAGGAATTATTTATAGTGATTTTGGTACCTGGTTACTGAAAGATATTGCTTCAGTGGCTCCTGTGTTTGTGTTCTTGGAACAACTGGGCAACAGTTCCTCAAATATCAGAAGGAATTGATGTTAATGGCCTGCCTACTTAGAATTAAACCCGATCTTCACTAATAAGGCTGCTTCAGTTTCTAGAATCTTTAACCTGTTTTTTCATTGTGTGTGTGTACCAAATGTCATTTCTCAAAATGCCATCTACTTTGGTTTTGGTTTAGTTTGGGTTTTTCTTTGTTGTTGCTTTGCTTGTTTTCCCCTTTCTTTAAAGGCCCGGTTTTTCACTGGCCTATATTTCAGCAAATCAGTGAGGCTTGCTGTTTGGTGAACCGAGGGATCTACCTTGCTCTGCTTTCCCAGCACTTGGATTGCAAACTCACACCATGCCCAGTTCTTTTTATGTGGGTTCTGGGGAGTGAACTTGGGTCCTCATGCTCACATGGAAAACTCTTTACCCATTGAACCATCTTCCCAGCCTCCTATTTGGACTTTTTTTAAAATACGGAGTCTCAGGACACAACCATAACTAACCTGGGCCTCACTGTGTGGACTAAGATGGCCTGGAGATTGTGGTGAGCCTCCTACCTCTGCCTCCTGAGTGTTAGGATCATAAGTGTGTCACCATGCCTGGCTTGAGTCTTAGCATGGTAGAGTGGCAGGGTTGCCTTCTGAACTTGGCTGTGAGCAGAAATTGCCTGAGTGTGAGCTGAAGTATATTTATTTCAGTGTTGGGCTGAGTGGAAATTACTGACTTGAAGCTTTGAGCTGAGAGAGTTGTCTCTTAAGAGTCAGGTTTAATCTTGTTATTTTTCCTCTCCTTTTCTAACAGGGAGAATCCCGTATTCTCAGAGTGAAAGTTGTTTCTGGAATTGACCTCGCCAAAAAAGACATATTTGGAGCCAGGTATGTTTCCATTTATTCATTCATCCATCCATCCATCCATCCATCCATCCATCCATCCATCCATCCATCCATCCATCCATCCATCTATCTATCTATCTATCTATCTATCTATCTATCTATCTATCTATC